TCTTTGTCAGTAAGAAGGTAGCTGGCGCCTTTCGATTTCTAGTTACCGCTGTAGTTTGATTGCAAGTAGCACGCTTGACTAATAAGAAGACTCGGCAATTAGGCGAGCCGCCCGGTGGTGTGGTACGTAGTGGGTTTAGTACGCCCCGCCAAAAGGGCTCCGAAACAAAGATAAAGGTGCGTGCCGCACTCACGAAGGACTACCAGTGATATACGAGAGGAAGGTGGGGATGACGTCAAGTCCGCATGGCCCTTATGGGCTGGGCCACACACATGCTACAATGGCAATTACAATGGGAAGCAAGGCTATAAGGCGGAGCGAATCCGGAAAGATTGCCTCAGTTCAGATTGTTCTCTGCAACTCGGGAACATGAAGTTGGAATCGCTAGTAATCGCGGATCAGCATGCCACGGTGAATATGTACCCCGGGCCCTGTACACACCGCCCGTCACACCCTGGGAATTGGTTTTGCCCGAAGCATCGAACCAATGATCGCCCATGACTTCTGTGTCACACTAGTGCCACAAAGGCTTTTGGTGGTCTTATTGGCGCATACCACGGTGGGGTCTTCGACTGGGTGAAGTCGTAACAAGGTAGCCGTAGGGGAACATGTGGCTGGATTGAATCCTTCGCGATGGAAATGCCCTCTTCCCCCAACCAACATAGGGGACTAGCTTGCTTCCCACTAGTGGCGGGCGGGCGAAGGGTCCAAAGGACACGTAGCCGGGGGCGAGTCAAAAAAGAGTTTCCATTTTCCTTCTTGTTCATCAATCGTCAATCAAGACAAACCGGGCACTACGATGAGACGTGAAAACATCCGATCCCATTCCGACCTCGAAATGTGGAATCGTCTTGCGCCATATGTACTGAGATTGTTCGGGAGACATGGTCCAAGCTCGGTAAGGCAAAAAAACAAAAGAAAAAATGCCTCTATTTGATGTCGATTCATCCACACCTTCATTCCTTGTAGAGGAAGGCTAATCCTTTGCTGGCTGGGAGCTGTATGAGCGGTAACGTCCACGTACGGCTCCGTGAGAAGGGCGATGGGCAGAAATGGCCTTGTTGTACCTCACTCTCGTCTTCAATGGGGTCTGCTCTATTTTTTTGGGAGAGTATGCCAATATGATCTTAATGAGGTGCGGGGCTTTGCATCGACATTCGTTGGGCTTTCCTCTTCGGGAGCCCGCGTCCGGCGTTTTGTCCAATAAACCCCTCCAGCCGAAGACTAGTGGTAGGTGGTCCGCGGAGCTTTCGGAAAAGGGTAGCCTAGTGTGTAAGCACAGCAATGAACCGCGACGAACCCTCGGACGACCTATCTAAGATTATGGGAGAGATCCTCGGTAGTGGTGACCCTTTCACTCTTCCACGAGACTTATTCATGTACCGAATGCTCATGCGGGAAAGTTAACTCCTGGGTCTGGAACTGGGGCTTGCTCAGAAATCCTTTCTTTCGTCCACTCGGGGGTGCGGACACACTGTGCGAATTACAGTGACGATTACAAGAATGGCGGGAAGTTAACGGTGCAGACGACATTCGGGGATGGATGTAGATCCATCGGGCAGGGATAATCATTCCGGTCCTGGGAGAGGTGGCGACCATTCTCAAGAACCAAAAAGACTAAGCTGAGGGAAGGAAACCCTATGATAGCAATCTCGTAGACGAAGCAAATTTCGTTAATGCAACCATCAACAAGAAAGTACGAAGATAATTTTGTCTATCCCGTGAAACTCAAAAGAGTGCGGAAAATTCACAGTAAGACGATCGTTTATCTAAGTGATTCTATCTCTTAACTCAAACCAAGCAAAGAACACATTATCCATGAAAGATTCGAATTAAACAACAACCCACGCTAAGAATAGCAAGGACACCATTCAATATACTCGATCAGTCATTAATCAAGAGACTCAAGAAAGGTAGGAGCAAACAATGCCCAACTATGAAGGAATACTACTGATTAGTAATCTTCATAACCAACCAAAGATATGCAACACATACACTATCTCAAAATGCTTATGCCAAAGCACAACTCATCCAACAAAAGTAGGACAAACCCCACAATGGATCTCATGAACACACTCATCATGAAATTCGAACACCAAGCCAAAGGAAAGGCTCATCAATCGAACTACTAGAAGTAGTATGAAAATAAGAAGTTTAGTTTTAAAACAATTCTATCAAGAAGCATACTTGAAAAAGAATGGTTTCTGCAAGATCTAAAAGATCCAAGACAAGATGAAAACCCTCTTGGTTTAATCATACTTGACACGAAAAATGGACACTCCATTTAACAAAAATTCCCCACAGGAAAAACTCTCAAAGAGACAACAAAAATGACCACTCAAGGGTGCTTCTAAAATTCGGCCAAGCCTCCTATATATAGGCTTGAATTTTTCGGCCAGCACCTCTAAAAAGAAGACCAATTAGGACTCTTTAATCTTATCTCACAAGTAGTAAAAGTAGAAGAGTACTTGATCTCTTTGACTCTATCTAAAATCTAGGAAACCTTATCTAAATGACTTATCCTCAAGTAGGATAATATCTAGAAGGAATCTAAGACTCCTAATCAAAACACTCTAGCTTAATTCAGTCCACGTGACTTATTTAACTAGATAAAATTCGAAAATAACTCCTAGACTTAGACAATGACTCTAATCTCGAAATTCAGCTCCAAATTATTGAAGTAAAATGTCTTGAACGCCCTTCCAAAAGTGGAATATTGGTCTTGCGCCCCTTAAGTTGTAGAAACCTCCAATTTACTCCAAAATTTGTAGAGTTCTCTTTATTGATTCCAAAAGATTGGAAAAACACTTGAAAC